TGAGGGACATTATGGCAGTCACTATTGACTTCCCCAATGTCAGGTCTTGAAGACCTAATTTCATCATCCTGTTATGATCAGATTAGTACTATAATGTTCAGTATGTATCCAATGCGTGTGAAGATGGGGACAACTATTTGGAAGAAAACTAAAGACAGTAAGACAGACAGTGAAGATCTCCAGTGGACTTGCTTTTTTTTTTCTTTTTTTTTTTTTTTTTGTCTTTTTCCTTTTTATCAGTACCGGGGATCGAACTCACGACTGCCTGCTTGCAAGGCAAGCACTTATGCCTCTGAGCTAAATCCCCAGCCCCAGTGGACTTGCTTTGAAATCCGTGCCTCTTAAAATTGTTTCCTTATGATCTGTTTTGTTGTTTTGTTATGTCTAATCTTACCCTCTTTTGAAGATAGCAAGAGGCATTATAGTAGCCATTGTTGATCACCTTGTATTTTGTTTTTACATCATATACTGTTTATTCTTGTTTTAACTGACTCCATTTTGTTTTGTCACATTTGGTTTTATTCTCTTCAAACAAAGTAATAAGAACTGTAGGAGTAATAAAACCTAAAATGTGTAATTGTTATTATAAAGACAGATAACCATACTACTAAGTTTTTATTGGCTCACTGAACAGAACTGTTTGCAGTCTCACTGTTTGAATGTCCACTTTGTATGCTTTAATTTTGTAACTTGAACAGTGACTTCTAAGATGACAATATGTAATCTATCAACTAGTGATTTCTTACTATTTGTTTTTGAAATTCTGTATTACGTCCACCCTTTTTTCTGTTTTGCTTTTTTTTCTCTTTAAATAAAATTCTTTTAAAAAATCCATTTTATCTCAAAGAGAAAAAAATTAAAAAACAAAATTTCAAAACACAACCAGGGGACAACAAAGGTACACACATTGTGCATTGCCATCCCCAAACAAGTCAACCAGAGCACGACACATCTGCGTTCAACTGTCTGAACAGTACCAGCACAAATCTTTCTCTTCAGTGAACTCAGAAGAATCAGTAGTATAACTAGCTGAACTCTATTATATATATATACATATATACACACACACACACACACATATATATACACACATGCATACATACTTTCAGCTTCTCATACTAGTGAGACAATATCATGTTTACATACATGTGTCTGATTTATTTCACTTAGAAGTATAGTCTCAAGTTGCACCCATTTACCTATAAAAGGCTTGCGTTTTTCTTCTTTATGGCTGAATAGTACTCCATTGTATAAAAGTGCCACATCTTTTTTACCCATTCCTCAGTCAATGGGCATTTAGGTTGTTTCCAAGATCTGGCTGTTACAAATTGTGCTGCTATAAACATTGGTGCACATATATCACTGTGGTATGACATTTTTAGTTCTTCTGGGAAGATACCAAGACAAGAAACAGCTGGGTCAAATGGGACCTCCAATCCTAGTTGTTTTAGGAATCTGCACACAGATTTCCACAGTGGTTGTACTAGTCTGCACTCCCACCAACAGTGGAGAAGGATTCCTTTTTCCCCACAGCCCCTCCAGCATTTGTTGTTGGTTGATTTTTTTTTTTTTTTTTTTTTTTTCTTTTTGGTACACAGGGATCAAACTCAGGACCTCGAATTTGCCCGCCAGGTGCTTATACCACTGAGCTAAATCTCCAGCCCTGGCTGATAACAGTCATTCTTTCTGGGGTGAGGTATAATCTCAGTGTTGTTTTAATTTGTACCTTTGAGTTCTTTTTTTTTTTTTTTCGTCTTTTTCCTTTTTATCGGTATGGGAGATCGAACTCACAACTGCCTGCTTGCAAGGCAGGCTCTTATGCCACTGAGCTAAATCCCCAGCCCCCTTTAAGTTCATTTTTAACTAACTGGATATGAAACACCTAGTGTCTTCATGGTAACACAAGCAAGTAATTTGAAATGAGGATCTATGGCTTAACATAAATGAGGGGTAAGAAAGAAAACTGATGCCAGATGAGATGGTACTTTCCTACAGTCCTAGCACCTTGAAAAGCTGAGGCAGGAGGATTTCAAGTTTGAGATCCTAGGTGGGGCAACTTTAGTCACTGTCTCAAAAAAAATATTTAAACAAAGGATGAGAATGTAGCTTAGTGTGAAGGACCTGTGTTCAATTCCCAGTACTGAAAAAGTACAAGATTAAAGGAGAAATTCAAAACAGAAGAGCAAGGACATAAGAAAGAAATTAAATAAATTATAAAACAAAAACAAAACAAAACACTGCCCATCTCTCTGTAACAGTCCTCTTCAGTGTACCCACCAGCTACACAGTACATAGACAAGAGGAAAATGAGACAGGTCAGAAAAGACAATGAGACACAAATATAAAAAAAACTGATCTATGGTGCCTTTTCTTGGATCTCAAATCAAGACTGCAAGTGTTTTAAAGTATTCAAACACCCAGCCTCTGAACTCCCACAGGCTTACTCACCGCACTATATTCCTTTCCACTGCTCCTGCAAGTAAGTGCCTCCATTTCGTTATAAATTGTTGGTCAAAACTATTTCGCTGAAAATTATTTTTTTCCTTCTTCATAAGAAAGCTACAGCTGAACTAATAATTCCGCACCCTTGAGTATTTCTTCATAAGGTTTCTATTTTATCCAGTGATTATGGCTTGAATAAGGACAGGGTCCCCCAAGGTTCCCAGGACCCCACTACTGCAGTGTTACGGCCCTTTAAAAGGCTTGCCCTAGTGGGAGGCTTCAGGCAATCAGGCTCATAGCACAAGGGCCAGTGGACTCCACTGTCCTTGCTTCCTGGCTTTCACTGTCACACACTCCATTCTTTTTGTTTGTTTGTATGGATTCTGAGGGGTTTTTTGGCACCAGGAATTAAACTCAGGACCTCGTGCCAGTGCCAGGCAGGCACCATACTGCTAAGCTGTACCTCTGGCCCTACACACTCTTTTAAAACAAACACACAGGACTGGCTGGGAATTTAGCTCAGTGACATAAGCGCCTACCTGGCAAGTGTGAGGTCATAAGTTCTGTCCCCGGTACCATAAATAAATAAATAAAAAGAAACACATAAAGCCAGTTTTGACTGCAGAGAGCTCCTGGAAGTGCTGATGAATGCTCCCCCACCCCCAGATCCCGGAATCACACTTTGAGGCTCACTGCTCCACGTGGTTTACTGAACACAAGCATAAATAGCTCCTTGAGAGAACTGAAATCACCATGGTTTGGCCTGTTCCTTTGACCTACTTAGTCAGTTATTTACCGAACACTTGTATCCAGAAGTGTTCTGGATACAAGAGGGTAACGTATGATCTGGGTAGCCAGCTGCTAAGATGGTCTCCATTGATCCTCCTGGTCTTTACACCCCTGGTCAGCACTGTGTGACCAAGAGAGAATGAAGGAGGTGCAGGCCCTTCTCTTGGTATCTGCCTCTGTTTCTCTCAGGCCATCTGTCTGTGGGAAGCCAGCTGCCACTATGAGCAGCTTTATGGAGAGGTCCATGCAGTAAGGAAGTGAGGCTTCCTGGGACAGCTGAGCAAGCCTGGAAGCCTCCCCAGCCCTCATCCACGGTCCTGGCTGACTGACTGACAGCAGCCTCAAGCCAGGTCTTCCCAGACAAGCCAGATCCCTGGTCCTCAGGAATGAAATATGAAATACTGCTTTATACTGCTAAATTTGGGGGTAATTTTTTATGCAGCGTGGATAACCAACACATATTCCTCTCCATCTGAATTCAAAATATATTTCTTTATTTTTTGTAAAGTCACATACATATAAACTAACAATAAAAGGCAATATAATTTAATATCAATTAGTACTCCAGACAATAATACCTAAGTAAGCTCAGAACACAATTTTTCCTTTAAAATATTCAAACACTGCAGCTGAAGAAAATAAATTTGAAATGAGCTGAAGAAAATAAATTTCATGAAGGAGTCAGAACTACAAGTTATCAAGGAGGCAGGATTCAGCTAAGTCGATGCAAAGACTGTCGGAGGTAAAAAGAAATCAAGTGGGTAAAAGCTAAGGAGCAGCGTGCTCATGAGGAGAGTCCTGGGAAAGTGGGGAGGTGAAGTGGTGCCTGGAAAGGTCAGTCAAATTCAGGACGGCTTTCAAAATAAGATAAAGTTCAGGTTTTCTCTTATAGGCAACGTACAGCCACCGAGTTTCTGAATAGAAAAACACAACACAATGAGAGAGCAATCCTGAGAGGTGCCTGAGAAGTCACCTCAGCCTCTGTCCCCACCCTCTCCTTCCTGCCTACCCCCACCGACTTTTTGAGCAAACACTGAAAATGATCCCTTCACTTGTCTAATGACACCATCTCTTGGTCACACTTAAAAGACAGAAGGATGTGAATCACTAATGGAATAAAAGCATCTATAAAAATCAGCTAGAACGTGAATGACTAGAACAATTCAAGTAACTCTAAATTGCATCTATTTGTCAGAAAATTTTATTTATAGTTGTACTATTCACATTTGTATTTTTAATCAATATCCTTCACATTAAAAAATTTTATGTGATGCTGGGCATGGTGGTGCATGCCTATAAATACCAGCACTCTAGAGGCTGAAGCAGGAGGATCCCCACAAGTTTGAGGCCAGCCTGGGCTACATAGTGAGCTCACGGCCAGCCCAGACAGCGTAGTGAGACCCCGTCGGACAAAACACAACACAAAAAAACCTAAAATTCTAAGCATAACATTTTAACTTCTTTGGAGTAGAGGAAAACGAAATAAAAAGTCAGAAATAAAATGAGGAACAAAGTCTCTACCATTCATTTATTTAGTGGTGCTGGGGTTGAACCCAGGGCCTTACCTAAGTAACTGCTCTGCCCTGAGCTACATCCCAGCCCTCAGATTTTTAAACTCGTGCTTTTTCCTAACTGTTGTTGTAAGTTTAATATAACTCTCATTTTACATTCCCTTCACTAAAAAGCTGGGGAAAATACACACATCCAAAACAATTTTTGGAAGCATGAGCACTGGCAGGGTGAGACCGGCGCGCGCAGGAGATACTCACTGTGTGAGAACCGCTGAGTAATTGGGGTTCCAGGGTATGGGTAAGTGCGGCTCTCCCACTGAATGTTTCCTTCCTGGACGGCCTTCATGAAACCATGGTAACACTGATGGGCTACTCCTAAACACAGAAGAACACATGCCTCAGCCTGGACACTTAACCTGCAGGTAAAGTCCTCCTCTAAAACTACAAAGGGGATGAAATACTCCAGAAGCAGCAGAAAACATGTTAAGTGTCCCATATTAAACTGTATAACCATAAAACATTTCAAAGAGAAAATTGGGAACCTAAAAATAAAACGTCCGACAAAACCCGAGATAAGTGACCGTTTTCTTTGCACAGTACCTTTGATAAGTCGATACCACTGTTTGCAGACGAGGGCGGCAGTCTTGTGCTCCTGGTACGGGGAGAGGAAGGACAGGATGTACTCCAAGACTTCTTCCGGCAGCTCGGACATAGACCGGTTGTGTCGTGGCTCCTCAGCCCCCAGGCCTGGGTGTGCATTCTCGTCTTGCTCCATTGTCCCCTCCGGCGCAGGTTCCTCTTGGTCCACAGCCATGAAACTGTCATCTTCACTGTCTGAGGAGCTGGCCATGACATTCCACTCCAAAGCTGTAGCAGGCAAGAAAGGAACATCTGTACACAGCTGTCAGACTCAGGAACGCCTCCGCCTCCACGCTGCTCAGGACTTCCTTCCCACCCTCTGCTTGGGATCTTTTCTCTGCACTTTCCCACGTTCACTATGAGCCATCTTCACAGGTGGAGCTCGAATACCAAACCCTCCACAAAGGCTTCTGACCACGTTTCTCTCTCCAGAACACCAAATGGCAGCTGAGTCCTAGCATTACCTTAGCACTGGAAAAGCTGTCCTGCACTAATTCCACTACCTCAAAGATCTGGCAGCCTGGCAAATGACGATGGGGGTAGCAAGTAGCCTCTCTGGGCCACTAACAATGACCCACGATAAACCTTAGAAGATAAACTAACTCTAGGTCCTACAAAGAGTAGTAACATTCTGAGAATGTGAGTTAAGAAGTAAGAATTTGGGGCTGGGCATGATGGCACACACCTGTAATTCTAGTATTTGGGAGGCTGGGCCAGGAGGATCACTCTGAGGCCAGCCTGGTCTACCTAGTGAGTTCAAAGCCTGACTGAACTACATAGCAAGACCCTGTCTCAAAAAACAAAAACAAAAACTAAAGCAAAAAACAATGAGAGGGGCAGTAGAGTTTTGGAAGCGGGCACAGTAGAACACACCTGTAATCCCTTGGTAATCTCTGAAAAGTTCCTAAATCCTGATCAAATTCTGTTTCCTGATTGGGTATTGGTTACATGGATGCGTTCTATGAGAAATTCACTGGCCTGAATATTTATGCACATCTTTAAAGTTTGCCAACATAAGCTATTATCAGTAGTCAGTTCTAGGGGAAATAGTATAGGTAGCTAAAAAAATTTCTTTTGTGTTTCTCATATTCCCTAAATTTTCTAGAAAGATCATATCATGTTAACAAAACAGGTCAATTTATATAAGAACTGAGTCCCAAGTTAGATTCTGCAGGAACAGATGATAAACAGAATGAGGAATGAAAAAGGTTTACTGGGCAACCAGACCTTGGTGCAGACCCAATGCAGGCTGCCCAGTGGACAGCCAGTCCCGCGGGGCAGTGAGGGGCTCTGCGGCGCTGTAGCCTCAGCCTCCAGAGTGCTGGGGGATTACAGACATGTGGAACCACAGCTGGCTTCTAGTTTGTTGCTTTTAATACATTTACTCACTTTATATACTTCTACCCAGAGCACCACTATGCTACCCTTGTTAGGATACCCAGCATTCCCTCTGGCACTGATGAAGAAAACATTAAGTAACTAAGAACAGATCCTCCTACCTCATCTCTACCACTCCTACAATTCATATAATAATGATGCACATCTTTAAAAATCAGAAGAATAGTCAATTAAGGAAAATGCAAACATGAATCAACATGCATTGCTTCCCAAGATCATTTATCAGCTGGGCATGGTATTGCACACCTGTAATTTCAACGCTGGGGAAGCTGAGGCAGGAGGACTGTTGCAAGTTTGAGGCCAGCCTGGGTTACAAAGTGAGCTCAAGGCTTGCCTGCACTGCACAGTGAGACTCTGTCTCAAAAAAGACAAAATACAAAACAAAAAAAACACGTATCATTTATCTACCAAATTATCTCTCGGCCAAGTGGCATATAGATTCTTGGTGATCATCAGCAATGAGTGGCTTCTCAGGGGTGGCATGGCCTAAATCCTCTTGGGGGTGGAAGGGAGAGGCAGTAGCAGCAAGAAGCTGCATTTCCTATCATCTCATAAAAGAAGGGTGCTGGGGCTGGAGATTTAGCTCAGCGGCATCAGTACCTGCCTTGCAAGCAGGCGGTCGTGAGTTCTATCCCTGGTACCGATAAAAAGTTTAAAAAAGAAGAGTGCTGTAATGAGCTAGCTAAAATTGTATTAGACAAAGATCTTCAGCCTTTTTCTGCCCTGAGTGAGCTGTTTTCCAATGTGCTTCACCTGCCAGAGAAAGGCCTAGTGGTCAGCACACACCTCCATTTGCAGCCCTCCCTCCTAGCCAGAAGCCTACAGTCCTGCAAACAGAAAGGAAAAGCCAGCACGGTGTTCATGCCCCACGCCCCAGCTAAACGCTGCCCTTGCAACACTCCTTCTCATTCCTCCCCTGCACAGCACCACTCCCCACTGCTTCCTGATTTACAGACCTGCTCTTCACTCCTCTCTGCTCAGGTCTGCCAAGAGTCCAAGCGGAACAGGCTCAGTGTGCTGTTCATGCGTGAATTAAATACACCGTCTCAAATACAGGGTTCCCTTGCACATGTTCTGACAGACTGTGAGCTCAAGGTCTGTTTCAGAATGAACTGAATCAAGGGAAGTCTCAAAAGATCATTTAAATAAAATAAATGCCGATTCAATAAAACAACTTACTGCCTTTCCAAAAGTGCTTACAATCAGCAAGCTTCAATAAAGGCGCGAACACTGCTGTGGGTGCCAGGTTTAGGCAATTTCCACCATCCAGCAAGCCACCATACCCCACAGCCTGAGGGCCGAGCACAAGGCACAGGTGGTGCTTCTATGATCACGAGGTGAAGCCATCACTCACACTCCCAAAGGACATGGCAGCACCCTTAAACTGAGTTTGTCTTGTTTTCGTGCCAAAAGAAGCTGCAGAAAACCTTTCACATACAGTGTATTAATTCAATGAACGTGACTTCGTGACATGTTTAAAAGAAATCCTCCTCCCTCTTCACACTTGTGCCACACCTTCTCATCAGCCCCTCGATGACTGAGTCTGAGGAAGAGCACAAACTGAAGTCAACTTACGGGATGCTGAGCTTCCGGGAGCTTCCAGGAGCCAGAGACCATTCGCCCAGGCGCCTCTGCCCTCTGGCACAAGGCGTGCAAGTGAGGACAGGATTCCCTGACCTGACGTTCCTACTCACAACACACGTCGCTCTGCGTCACCGGGTGCCGCCAGGATATTTCATTGGTCAGAATTAATAATCTCTCTGGACCCTTGAATTTTGACCTTTCAAAATACATGCTGCCACCACCAGTCACTTTCACCAGCTCAAAAGGCAAAAACGGGACTTGAAAAGCCATTTAATGGACCCAGGAAGCTTTTTTTTCTGAAAACTATTTCATTGAATTCAATGAAATACATACTCCTCCCTTCCCTCTCCTGCTCCCTCCTTTCCGTCCTTCACTCCCCAGCAGTGCTGAGGATTCAGCAAGTACCCTACCGCCAAGCCCCATCCCCAAACCAGTCTCTAAAATCTGAGTGCCTACCCTGAGGTGCAAAGTTAGGGTAAGAAGACTTTGAGCCTGGCGATCTGGCTACTGCTTCCAGCTCTGAAGCTGTGTGAAGCGGAGTGAAGTCATAGCCAGCAGGAAAGGATGTGAAGGTAGCAGGAAGCAGCAAACAGCTCCGGGGCACTCAAAGAAATTCAAGATGGGGATAAAGTTACTTTATTGCGTGTAAAAAAGCCATTGTGGGATTTTAGTAGAATATCTGATTAATCTGTGCCTTTTATTCCTAAAACAGCTACACATCTGAAAATTCTTTTGGAGCAAACACACCTCTATAAAAATTGGGGGGCTGGGGATTTAGCTCAGCGGCATAAGCGCCTGCCTTATAAGCAGGCAGTCGTGAGTTCGATCCCCGGTACCGATAAAAAGGAAAAAAAAAAAAAAAAAATTGGGTCGGGTTGTTCGAGACCAGCATGGGTTACATAGTGAGTTCAAAGCCAGCCTGGGCTACATAGTAAAACCTCACCTCAATTAAAACAAACAAACAAACAAACACTGCTGGAACTTAAGAGGGAATGGCTAAATAAATGAAAGAACCCACAGCATCCATCAGTGTGAGGGTTTCTGAGGGTTTGAGGACAAAGCAGCCACCTCACACAGATGCCTTCATGAACTCAAGCAGTTACAGACACTGTGACCTAAAGCCATACAAGGTTCTATTCTTGAAAATAAACTATTGTTAGATGTACAGAAGATGAGGGCATGATTTTTTTCTAAGATAATAAGCCTTACTAATATGCTACCAATATAATCATTATCACCGTACTAATTCAAAGGCAAGCAGAAAAATTGTAAAATATAAAATTCTGTCCCACTTCATTCAATAAAGGGCAACATCACATTGGCTGCATGCACAAAATACCATGCCTAGATTCCACAGAAGGTACTCAAAGAGAATAGGGCAGTGTCTGCACTCAGGGACGGCACCTTCAGAAGGGCTGAAGACACGGCTAACAGCAACACAAAGCATTATATAATAAATGACCTACAGTATCAACAGTCAGGAGAGAAGAGAAGGCCTCTTGAGGTAAAGAATTTGAGCCACGCTTTGACAGGTAAGATTTCAAAGAATCAAACATAAGGTAGAGGGATAAAATATTTTCAAATCATTATTTCTGGTATTATTTCTGTTTATTTCTTTGATACAGAGTCTCAGTGTATAGTTTGGGATGGTTTTGAACTCACTATATAGCCCAGGCTGGCCTCAAACTCACAGCAATCCTTCTGCCTCGGCCTTCTCAGTGCTGAGATTACAGGCATCTGCCACCATACCTGACTTTAGTTGAGATTCTTTGCCACTTAACAGAATTAACTTATAGGTAAAATAAGAAAAACCACTTTGTATTCAATGCGTGGTCTGACCACATACACATACACTACTTAATACTATTTAGTATCTGATATACATTAACAGAAGCTCCTAATTCTGGAGACTCCTTAGTTCCTAACAGTCAATATTTTGACAAAATTTTAAAAAGGTCCAAGAGCAGAATAATTGGGCATAACTATTATTGCTATTAGCAAGCTGTGAACTACTCTTGATACACAAATTCTGAGCCGCTTCTACAAAAGACTCCAAATTGAGTAACAGATGTCAGCTGGAGGTTTTTATTTTTTTTAATGATGAACACATCAGTGTGTTTCCCAGTTAAAACATACAGTAGTGAAACAGAAAAATATTTCCCCAAACCACCCATTACATATTGCACTTTCTTACCATTCTTTCTGGTTGATATAGAATGAAAGTGTCTGATAACTCATCCAAGTTGTGTAAATATGACAGTTTTCAGGGCTACTCTCTTAAGCCGTACATAACAGACCAAGGGTTTATTACTATAAATGGTCAAGAAAATGGTACAGATGTCAATCACTAGAGGACACACTTGAGGTTCTAAAATTCTGATATGGAAGACCACATATTCTAGGTTCAACAAAATGTGTAACTTAGTTGAAAAAGTATACAGCGTTGTCAATGCTTTTATTTCTTACTTTGTGAGAGCTGAATGGTTTTTTTGTTTTGTTTTGAGGCAGGATCTTGCTACATAGCCAAGGCTGGCCTCAAACATAAGGCAATCCTCCTGCTGCAGCCCCTGAGGGCTGAGGTTACCAACATGTGTCCCTGTGTGCAGCTTACTTTTTTTTTTTTGGTGATGGTATTGAGGATTGAACCTAGGGCATCACACACACCACCCAAGTACTGTACTACTAAGTTACGCACCTAGCCCTTGAACTTTACTTTTAACAGAAGTGTATAAATGATTTTTAGGTTAATTTAAATTATCTACTTTGCTAGGAGTAGTAGTGCATACCTGAAAATTCAGCTACCCAGGAACTGAGGCACAAAGGTCATGAGCTCAAGTCCAGCCTTGGCAAACAGCAAGATTCAGTCTCAAAATAAAACCGTGACAAAAATGCAACTGTTTCTCAGTTGTGCTGGAAAACCATTTCCTGACTCTAGAAAGAGTTCAGAAGTTTGGTGGCTACTGGCCAAAGTACAATGCAACTAGCATACATGAATGCAACCTGTTTCTTGTAGAGATAGCTTAACCGCCCTTTCCCTCAGCTGGCAGGTTAAGTTTGCTCCAGTTTCTCTCTCTGAATATTGTTTTGCAGTACTGGGGATTAAACCCAGGGCATTCTCACTGAACTATATTCCCAGTCCCTTTTTAATTTTCAGGCGGCTTACCAAATTGCCCAAGTAGGCTTTGAATTTAGGATCCTCCTGTCTCAACCTCCCACAGTGCTGGGATTAACAGGTGTACATACCACCATGCTGGCTTCTAAGAAGGTCTTGTTATTAACAAGACTTAAATATTTAAAGAACCTTTTTTAAAACTGCAATCAATTATGTCAAACTTTATTATTGTTACAGAAGGTATAACAATCAATCCATAGAGTTCATAACTTTAAAAATCAAGTTCTCAAGCAATATGCAATTTTATGGTACTTTTTAAAAAAATAAATAAAAAAAAAAACAGGTCCAAACCTCAATCCAAAATTATATAAGATAGAAAACTCCTCAAAATTCAGAGGAATCAAATGAAATAAAAGAAAACAAAATTCTCCCCTGGGTTGAAAATGACTAAAACAATCACCATTTCATGGCTTCAGTTTTAAGGAGCACATCTTTCTGGTTCGCTCGTCCACTGCAGATCTGTTTCAATAAAAGGAATATTTTTATTAATTTAGTACACATCATTCACATAATCAATCCTGTATCAGGAAATGTTTCCCATAATTAAAAGAACATAAAGGTGATTTTGATTGTACACTTTTTACAATACAGTACAGTGTATCTTTATGCCCTACACAGGCATTTCTGCTGTTGCACAACCAGAATGCAAACAGGGAAAGAAAAAATTAAAAACACATACTGCATTTGGAAAACTTCTTCCATTTACATCGCACAAACCTGGGGATCTGGGGCTCAGCAAAGTAATTTTCAGGTAGATTAACAACAAAAACATCCAGAAGTGTGCCCAAAAATGTATGGGCCACAGGGTTGTTTTATCTACTCTGCAATGACAAAAACTCACAAATCTTGTGTCTATTAATGGGAGACTAATTAAATTAATGGGAGACTAATTAAATTACACTATATCCAGGCTACAGAATTTAACTATCCAGTATTTTATTTTATATTCAATATTTTAAAAAGTGACTATCAGTATACACTGACATGAAAAGACCTCCAAGACTACTCTGCAAAAAATACAAACTAATGATTAACATTACCCTATTACATATCCACGTCTACAGAAACCTTTAAATGCACTACATATACATAAATGCATAAAAATTATGTAGACACTGGGAATAGTGCTGCATACACACTGGACAATTTAACAAAACTCTGTCTCAAAAATAAACCAACAGGGGCTGGGGATTTAGCTCAGTGGCATAAGCACCTGCCTTGCAAGCAGGCAGTCATGAGTTTGATCCCCGGTACCGATAAAAAGGAAAAAGACAAAAAAAAAAAAAATTTAATAAATAAATCAACAAACAGAGCTGCAGATACAGCTACAGCTCAGTAGTGGAGCACCTGCCTGGTGTGCAGGAGGCCCTGGGCTCCACTGTTAGTACCACAAAAACAGAAAGAAAAATGAAAAACTGGTGAGAGAGACACAACAAATTTAGTTTTACCTCTGAGGAAGAGAAAAAAAGTCTTTGTCTCTTAAAAGTCAATTTGTAAGAGCCAAATGTATCAAACATCCAAAGCTATATAGAGATGCAGCTGCTGCAGAAACAGTACAGAAGATCCATGAAATTCCTGGCACGGCAGCGCACACCTGTAATCCCAGCACTGAGGAAGGACGAAGGTGCTGATGTTATGCTGGGACAGCATACTACTGCCACTAAGTGATACATTTAAAACTGAAGCTGGTGCAGTGGTCCCAGCACTTGGGAGGCTGAAGCAGGAGGAGTGCCACAAGTCTGAGGCCAGCCAGAACTACAACTATTTAAAAAAAAAAAAAAAAAAGCTGAAGCTGGAGCCAGGTCTGGTGGCAAATACCTGGGAAGCTGAGGCAATAGAGCTAAAACTCAATCCCAGCCTGCACTATACAGTGACTTAGTGATACACCTGTTTCAAAATAAATAAAAAACGGCTAAGGATACAGATAAGTGAGAAGACCCTGCATTCAATTATCAATATAGAGGAGAAAAGGAGTCAGGTACGGTCACACATGCCTGTAATCCCAGAACTCTGGAAGGCTGAGGCAAAAAGATCAAAAGCTTGAGTCCAGATTTACCAATTTAGTAACTTACGGAAACTGTCTCAATTAAAACAAAAAAAGGCTCTAGATTCAATTCCTATGCCTGTCCATAAAAAAAAGGTTAAAATGGAAAAGTTTATATTGTGCATTTTATAATAATTTTATTAAGATGTATAGAATATATGCAGTTAAAAAAATTAAGATAGCCAGGCAGGTGGTATACCCCTGTAATCCCTGTACTCAGAAGGCTGAGATAGGATGATCTCCAGTTTGAAGCCAGCCTGAGCTACCCAGAGTTCAACATCAGCCTGAACTACACTCCAGGTTTTTGTTCAAAAAGCTACAAATTAGTCGAGCATGGTGGCACAGGTCTGTAATCCCAGCACTCAGAAGGCTGAGGCAGGAGATATCTCTGCAAGTTCAAGGCCAGCCTGAACTACAAAGTGAGTTCAGGCCAGTCTAAACTGCATAGTGAGAGGCTGTCTCAAAAAAGAAAAAGGAAAAACAAAAAAAGCCAAAAACTATCCAGGAATGGTAGAGCACACCTGTGGTCCCAACACTTGAGAGGCTGAGACAGGTAGGTTGCTTTGAGTTCAAGGCCAGCCTGGCTTTCCTGTTTTGCTGGTACTGTGGTCAAGCCCAAGGGCACTGTATCTCTGAGTTATACCTCCAGTTGGGGTACCCCCCATTTTGAGACATAGTCTCCCCAAATTGGCAGGTAGGATTTAAACTTGCAGTACATAGCAAGACTCCATCTCTGAAACAATCCCTTGTATACCCATATCCAAGTTAGAAAATAGAGTAAGTTCAGTACAGAGATGCACACCTGTTGAGATAGGATGCTGTGAGTTTAAGGCCAGTCTGGACTGCACAGTGAGATCCTGTCTTAAAAAAACATAATAGGAAAAAGGAAGGAAGGAGATAGGGAGCGACGGCAGGCATAGGGCATCACCAGGGCCTTTAAGACTGTGCGTGCCCGTCACCCCCTCATTACTCCCCGTGACCCACCTAGGAGCAATGTTCACTGTGTTGTTATTACTCCCTTGCTTCCCTTTATAGTTCTGCCCTTTAAGCACATCACTGAAGAATATACTACTCATAACAATATGTCGCGCAGTTGTTGGCTGTGCTGGAACTCATTCTCACTGTGGCGTGTGATTCTTTGTATGGACACGCTGTAATTTACCCATTCTACTACTGACAGAAATCAACTGGATCCAACGCTTAGCTGTTATGAAATAATTATCATTTTCTACAGAGTCCAGAGCAGTGGCTTTCAAACTTTGACTGTAACACAGTAAAACATACTTTATGCCAAAACTAGTTCCCTTATACATATACACATAAAGATACAGCTGGGAATGTTTCTAAAAATAATTCTCTTACAATAAAGTACATGATTATTTTCTGCTATTGCACTTGACACTGCCATGAGACGTGAACAGTCTTCTGGTTCAGCAGGGGGTTGCAAGCTGCAGGCTGCAAACAGTACGGTGGAGGGCACACCGGGGAGAGGGGCTCACGTCCGCCCTAGGTGACCTCCACCTGCCTCCCGAAGAGATTCTTCCAATAAGCACTTCCACCTGTAGCATTTCTGCAAATTTCAATTTGATTTGATTCGAAATGACTTAAAATTATAAATAGATATTAAAGTTTATCAAATATTAAATATTAAATACCATATCAAATATTAAATATTAAAATACCATATGGTTTTCTTTTAATCTGGTGGGAGGTAAATTCCTGATTTTCTAATAAAAAAACAAGCTTGTATTCCTCAAACTGAACTAGTCCATGATTTTTATTTTTGTTTTTGTTAAGACAATCCCTCTCACTGGGCCTGATGGCATGGGCCTATAAATCAGGCAATTCAGGAGGCTGAGGCAGGAGGATTGCCACAAGCCTGAGGCCATCCTGGGTTACACAGTGAGTTGAAAGCCAACCTGAAATACAAAAGGAGACTCTATCTCAAAAACCCAAAATATGAAAAACAAAACAAACAAACAAAAAGGACCAGGGATATCGCTCAGTGGCATAAGTGCCTGCTTGGCAGACACAAGGTCTTGATTTCAATTCTGAGTACAAAAAAAAAAAAAAAATAGTGCAGGGAGGTGGGGTGGGGGCTGGTATTGAACCAACTCTAAAGCAGGCAAGTCTCAAACTCAAAGCAATCCTCCTGCCTCAGCCTCCTGAGTGCTAGGATCACAGGGACACATCAACACCTCAGGCTTCTTCTATGTTTTGTTGTTATTGTTGCTTTTTATGCAATAGGGTTTTGCTATGTAATCCAGGCCAGTCTCGATTGCTATGTAGCTCAGGTTGGCCTCAAACTTTTGATCTTCCTGCCTCAGCCTTTCAAGTACTGGGATCACACATAGACGTGCACCCCTGTGCCTGATTAATATCAGCCTCTTTAAATAACCAAAGATAATAAAATCTTTTACCTATGAGGTTAATACTGATGACTCATTCTGGCAGCAAAGTAGATTCTTTAATGGCTGAGTACTGATCTGGCCCACAGGAGACTGACACACAGTTTTTCTCCCATCCCTGGCAAATGACTCCTCAAACCCTTTGAATCTTAGTTATGTGGTTGGTTTTACTGTTTTGCTGGTACTTGTGGTCAAGCCTTAGGGCACTGTATCTCTGGGGTCACCCTATTTTGAGACATGATCTCCCTAAATTGCCAGGTTGCAATTCTCCTGCCTCAACTCCAAAGTGCTTTGATTGCAGATGTGTTAGGTTTTGTGTATGCTAAGGAATTGCCTGAAGGTGGCAGGCCCAGGAGCTGCAGGCCTGGGGCTGGTCAGAGCAAAGAACAAAGGAAGAAGCCTGGTATGGTGGCACACAGGCCTGTAATCCCAGCAATGGGGAGGCTGAGGCAGGAGGATTGTTGCAAACTCGAGATCAGCCTGCACTACAAAGTGAGCTCCAGGCCAATCTGAACTACATAGCAAAGCCCTGTTTCAAAAAAAAAAAGAACACTACAAGGTTACAACTTTCAGCCCCACTCGCCAGTCTCAAGGGAAAAGGCAAGAGCTACAGATTAAATTGGTCACCAAATCCAACAATTTAACCCATAATGTCTGCATCATGAGACTTCCACGAACACCCAAAGGACGATGCACGAGGAGATTTCAGATGGCTGACTCCTCAGAGGTTCCAGGCCGGGATCAAACGTGTAACCCTCCTGCCTCAGCCCCAGAGAGCTTCGTGCCTCTTCACACATGCCTTGCCCACACATCTTTTCATCTGCATCTTTGTAATATCCTTTTAATAACTGGCAAATGGAAGCAGTTCCTAGGTCCCATGGGCCACTACAGCACATTAACAGAACCCAAGGAAGAAGTCATGAAACACCCCGGGCTTCCAATGGGCACATGAAGTGGGCGGCCCCGCAGGACTGGGCCTCTGCCTTGGGGTCAGAACCAAACTGAAC